GACTTCAAGGTGAAGGTTAGTGGCCACAGACCCTGGTATCTCTCTTGTCATCGGCACCCAACCCATCACCTATTGGTCGGTCACCAATGAGATGGTGGTGGACGCTGCTCTGATATGATGCCGACGTACCTGCGATGCCCTGTTGAACGCAGTACTTGATAGTTCCTTTTTAAGCTTCTCACGCACCAGAAGTGTGTCAAGCAAAGTCTGTCGATGTTCATTATCGGTATGATGATGATACAGGCCTGAAAAAGAAACTCACGTTGGAGTAGATTCGACCAACTGGAACGCCGAACATGCCATAGAAGTTTGCATTTGGAAGCAGCAGGAAAGTGATCAACTCGCCCAAGGAGAATATAATTGCAAACAAGCCGGTTTGGATAGCCCCGCGTATCAAACGCCTGAGCACGCTGTCCGTCGTGGGCAAACCCGTCTTCGCACGAGCGAGAATAATAGATAATGTAACTAGGAGGTGTGACAAAAATTGGTGGCAAAGTCATGGGACGGGACACAGATGCTGACCGGTTAAGAATGTGTCCACGATCACTTGCATCACAATCCAGGCTGTCGCAAGGCCATTGATACGTGGCATATCAGCAAGTCTGAGGAAAAATAACCGTGTCAATATCATTCTGCACGGCAATCGGAACAAGAACAACCTACACATGGATGAACCATGCTTCGATACCACAAGCTATTCCAAGACCAAATGTGGGGAGAGCCATCGTGATGACAATACTGTACATTACTTTGTTGTGGGTAAGGCGGTATATCCTGTGCCAACGACTGTAAGCAGCTTGGCAACGCTGTTGTGGACACATACCGGTCACCGAGAAATGTTTGCGTTACAAGTGCAGCAGCAGTAGTGCCGATGGGTGTGAAGGGATATGGCCACACATAGTCTTAAGAAATCAGTCAGTCAATGTAATGGAAGAGCGGGTGACAACTCCCCACACTGCAATGCGGTTGGATTTGTGTAGTTCGCAACCCTAACAGGAGATTTGATACCCCTTGAAGCATGAGAGGGCCCAGACGCACATGTACACCCAAACCATATAGATTAACCTGAAGAACACTGTGAGGATGCTTACTGACGCAGCCCCTACCACATGAGACTTACGCTATACTATGAACTGTGTCAAGGACGAGCAAGAATGCCACCACACATCTGCGAATAGGACGTGAGCAAGAGCAGCATAGCAGCGGGGAATGACAGAGACTTCACGGCAAGTCGATCGTTGAAATCTATGGGTAAGATATGGGTGATGGGAACGCCTGTAACAGGAATTGCACTCACCCGCTCGGTAATATGACGCGAATTGGTATGTGACGATCCCATACAAATAGGTATTGACTTCAGTGGTGGGCGGTCAGCATTGCAGTAGGTATTACAAATAGAAACATAGTACGCACAAAGAATCCCTATTAGAAGAGGACCTGATTGTGTCAGCTTGATCAGCTCGAAAAGCTAAACAGGATAGCCTACCTAGAATCTGGTCATGTGGGCCCATGGGGGAAGACTGAGAAACAACGAACTTGAGCCTAGCGAAGAACCTCTGTGTCTGGCCTACTATATTCTGCCTCATCTGCGAAACAGCTACGCGACGCGGCTGTTAACAGCTCTTCCGCACTTGAGCGAGCTCTCTCATTGGCCAACAAGTGTCTTAGCGAGTCTTACGAAAAGTCACTTCCAAACGGAGGCAGGTATAACCTGCTCACTCCCTCGGGTAGTTTTGCAGATGACTGCTCAACAACCCTAGGCACTGTAAACTTTTTTTCTTCACTGATGCGGACTTCCAGCTGTCATACAAACCCCTCGTGAGGCTAACCTAGGCTAACCAATAGGGCCGCTCAAAGTTAAATGTGGAAAAAACACGTGAGCAAACTCAAGTGCGGTTGAGTTGTGAGTTTGTGGGCCAATATTAAATCCCCGACTGGATATTCAAACTCCGCAGAAAAAGCGCGTGACCCGGAAACGGTAGATGTGTAGATGATGCTATTAACGCTCCGATTTAAAAGTGAAACTCCGCTGAAAAGCGTGCATGCTTATCAATAGAGAGATCTAGCAAGTGATAACCACCTACCAACACCATGCCTAGGGTTACTGAGTGCCAGGAACTCCTAGCCATCCTTCAACAAGCCAGGGAACATTTTGGTCTGCTACAGTACTTAGATATACTACATGTAGCACTGCAGGAGGCTGAGGCTACTGACTCTGATAACTCAAGTGAAGGCCTACCCCAATCTGACAACACCATGACAACCCAATCTTCTGATGTTCCCTCTTCCCCATCTTCTGGTGCTGCAACTTCTGACTCCTCATCCTCATCCTCTGGCTTGATGGAGCAGTTGTTATTCAGTACTGCTGCTTTCTCTGGCTTCCAGGATGCTATTGCTGCACTCCAGGATGAAGTTGAAAAAACATGTGTTCTCAACAATCAACCAAGACCAAGCCACTCTCCCCAGCTCCACCTCCTCAATGAGTGGAAAATTGACCACCCTCACCTCTTTCAGTGCAAACTCAGAGTCCCCCCAGCTGTTTTTTCTGCTATAGTGGACAAGATTGAGACCCACCCTATCTTCCACAGCAACTCCAATAACCCCAGCTCCCTGTCCCCATACAATTGGCAATTTTCCTTAATGCTGCTGGGCATTATGGAAATGCTGCCACCTCCTGGGATATGGCAGAGTGGGCTGGTGTATCTGTTGGGACTGTCCACAATTGTTACAAGAGGGTGATGGTTGCCATTCTGCACCATCATGATGAGGTGATTCACTTTAACCCTGAGGAACCACAGGACAGGAGGGAAAAGGACAGGGCAAAGAGATATGTGGAGGAGAGAACATGTCCTCAATGGAAGGGGGGATTTTTATGTGTGGATGGAACACCCTTCAATCTATTTCAGAAGCCTGGGTTGCATGGGGAGGGATTTTTTGACAGGAAATCCAATTATTCACTTTCCAACCAGGTGAGCACTCACAATTTGGTGATTACATGTATTCACTCACCTGCATTTAAGATCATCATCTTCCCCCACAATCTTCGCATTGTGGATTATGTCATTGGTGTTCCAGGTAGCCTCCATGATGCCAGTGCCTTCCAACACACTCAATGTGCCCAGTCACCTGAAAGGTTTTTTGGTGAGAATGAATGGCTCTGGGCTGACTCTGCATATGGATGCCAGAAGTGGTGTATTGTTCCATTCAAAAGACCTGCTTCAGGTCAGTTGACTAGGGTGCAGAAGACATTCAATTATCATCTGTCTAAAGTATGTAACAGCTCTTTTTACATATTTAGTCCATACTCATCTGTCATGGCAAGATACATGTTTGATCTGAACATCTTTATGGCTCCCTTAAAGGGTGCTTCCAATCCCTATTAGAGCTTCGAATCCAAATACAGACTCCAGAAGACTTGGAGTATTGTAATGCATGGGTGTGAAGTTGTCTGGTTCTCCATAACATGATCATAGAAATTGAGGAGGACCTTGGTTTGGCATCATCAGCTGAAGAGTTTGCTGGGGCATTTCCTCCCTCTGATGATGATGAGGAAGGTGAGGATGCAGGTGAGGATGCAGGTGGTCAGGGAAACTACATTGGATCAGAGGGGCAAATATTTAGGGATGCACTTCTTATCAAGTTACTTCAGCACTTAGAGGTGTAACACATTCTTGAGCATGTAAATATATTTTGTTTTTACTTTACTTTGTTCTGGTGCTCTGGGACTTTGTTCTGGGCAAGTATGACACAGACAGGTTCACAAAATTCATTCATATTTAGTATATACCATGGTCTACATTGTATATACTAGGGGGGGGGAGGCAACTGTATATAGGGGGGGGGAATGCTAGGATGCTAGATGATTATGAGAAAATGACCATGTACTGTATTCAGAAGGTGAGGTGAATATTCTGACTATCAGATGAAGTACCTTGGTCCTCACCACCTGCAATGCCTTTCTGCAATGCAAGATTCTGAACATGCAGCTGCTCCAGCTGAACTGCAAGTTTCATCTTCTCAACCTCCTGAGCTGCCATTGCTTGCTCATGCACATGTAGCTCATGTTGCATTTGCAACCAGTGCTTGTGATCCTCCACATGAGCAGACTTCCTCTCCTTCACCTTCCAGTAGTCAAAGTCCATTCAGGAGTGCTTGTGCTCCAACTGATCTTGCTGTGCCTGTTGAAATTGCTGAATAAATGACATTGATGTTGAAGTGAGGCTCACTGAGAGCTGGTCAGCAGGGGCCTCACACCCATGCTTATGGGACAGCTTGGATGATAACAGCTTGCAGTCACTATCATCAGATGGCACAGTGGAGGACGAAGACATATGAAGCCCCAAAAAAAGATTTGATGATGACATGTCCGAGTCAGATGACTTGTCCATGTTCAGAGTGGAAGCCAACCTGGGTTTCAGAAGAGGGGAGTTGTGCTCGAGAGATGGGTGTGTTGGCTGAATTTTTGGGTGGTGGGACATGAAGGGGGTGGGGTCATCATTCAGACTGATGGGATCCCCCTTGTCAGTGATGAGAGTGGGGGGAGATGGAATGCCAAGCAATGGACATTTAATTCCAAACAGCAGGGGTGATGGGAGAGCAAACAATGAAAGATCCCCCCTGTCAGAGATGAAAGGGGGGACAGATGGAATGCTGAGTTGGTTTCTGAATAGGGGGGGTGAAGGGATGGTGAGCAATGGCTGTTCAGATCCAAATGGGGGGGTGGCATGCAATGATGAATCAGAAAGGATTGGGGGAGGAGATGGGACAGCAGGTGACAACTGTTGATTGAATGAGGGGAATGATAACAGATGTGAAACAGCAGAGGAAGGTGATGGGATGGGAGGCTTGCCAACATAGTCTACAGTCATTGCCAGAGAATCATCTGCAAAGATTAAGTTAGAACTCTCCCCTATTTTGCCCTCTTCCAATTCCAATGGTACTGGAGAGCCAGGTACAGGAAGGCCATCTGAAATGGCATGAGGGTTTGACTGCAATTTGAAGAGCCTGACTGCATGAGTGGTGAAATTTTGGCCACTATCAGCACCACTCCACATGCTGTTGTATGCAGGGTTCATGTGCCACCAGCCATGCAGGTCTCCCCACCATGGGAATTCCTTCTGAATACTGTCTGGAAATGATCAGTACACTGATAGCAGGTGATAAAGGTGTGGTGACATACCTATAATATTTTTCATGCTTGTGTTGCTTGCAAGATCATTGTAAGTCCATCCAGCACCTGTCTGCCCAAGCAACACAATATATTTCCAATATTTCTGCTTCAAGCTGCAAACTTTGTAAGTGAAAACAGAAAAAAAAAGGGGGGAGGGAGGGGAGAAATGTACACATCAAGACAACTTTGAATCAGACCAGTGAATATACCCAGATTGTCCTGAGCAAGGGCACAGATCTTGACAGACTCATCACCCACTGAAAAAATTACCTTTGCAATCTCCACATATATGTCATTCTTCCTGTGGCACAACTGCTGCTTACTTCTACCTTCCTCCCAAGCATACTGCGTAGAATCAGAAAAGAGCTTCTTGCAAGCTGCTTTGTGAGTTTTACACCATTCAATAAGGCAATCAGTTCATGCAGCATGTGCCTTTTCCCACTGAATTCAAATGTTTGGCTGCTTCACAACTGATCTGGTGGAATGCAATGATGGGAGACCAGGAGAGCTTGGCCTGGTTGCTGGGGCCATCACTGCATCGAGTGAGCAGTGAGAAGTTCAAAGCTTACAAAACTCAGCCAAAGTTCAATCGGAGTTTCAACCTCCGGGTTCTCGGCCAGAAACTCACCGAAAAACATGTGAGAAACACATGAACCTCCTCAGACTTTGAGTGGCCCTAATCTCACTTGGAGTTTATGATGGCATACTGAAAAAATCTGTACTCTAAGTGTGAGATTGACATATTGTATTACATATAACAGGGTACTATATAGTGGAAAATTCACTGTGTGATACAGTCTTTTATTGCGCAGAGGAATGGGAGAATCGAAGAGCAATAAGGCACAAACACTTGCCTTGTGTTAGAATGGTAGTAGATTTGAATATAAGCAACTTTGTAGTTGAGGGGCTCAGTTGTTGAATAGACAAGTGAAGAACAAATGTGGAATTCAATAGGGACTAAGGGAGAAAGTCCCGAGTTTATATACATGAGTAGGTACGCACGGACCAGTAGCATAAAAGGAAATTACTACTCAGTATAGTAAAGAATAGCATAGAAGGTCATGGAATATGACGTATAATATGACGTCAATATGACATCATTGTGGAGCTGATTGCTAAGGAATGTCATGTGATGAATATCGTGTTGATACACGTGTTATTCTGGATCAGTCTAGATGTTGGAACATATAGTAATATTACCAACACTCCCCCTCGCTCTAGAATGGGAGTGTAACAAGTCCCATCGATGAGTGATTTGTTTCAAATTTTTGCCACATCAAAGATTTTGTAAGACCATCTGCTTTTTGTTTGTCAGTTTGAACATATTCAATACTGAACAGACTATCTTGAACACATTCGTGAACGAAGTGTCATTGGACATCAATATGTTTTGATTGACTGTCTGATACAGGATTTTTGGCAATGAAGCGAGCTCCCATATTATCACAGTAGAGAATAGTTTTCTCGGTCTTAAGTTGAAGTTCATCAAATAGCATTGAAAGCCATTTGATTTGACATGCAGCATCACAGAGAGCCATATATTTGGCTTCTGTAGAGGAGAGGGTGATAGTCTTCTGTTTTCTTGAATGCCAAGAAATGAGGGATGTTCCGAGGAACATAGTGTAACTGGTAGTGGAATGATGTGTGTCTTTGTTAGCAGCCCAATCAGAATCTGCAAAGCCATAGATTTGAGATTCAAGTCCTGAATAGTATAAAGCCAATTTTGGAGTAGATGCAATATAGCAAACTATATGCAAGGCTTTATTTTGGTGATCTTCGGTTGGATTCACCATATATTGCGACATGTGAATAACTGCATAAGCAATATCAGGATGAGTACCAAGGGCCATATAAAGTAGGGACCCAATAATAGATTGGTATTGCGACCAAAGAGAAGATGTGGCTTGATAATCCGATGGTGCTTTTTCTGGTTGATATCCCGATGGTAATGGAGTGCAAACATTTCGAGCAGTCTCCATATTAAATCATTTGATATACTTCTTTCTTTGACCTATCTTGGTGAATTTGAATGCCAAGATATTCCTTGACTTCACCAAGATCTTGGGATTCCCATTTCTTCATGAATTGTTCTTTCTTGGCTTTAAGAAGACGTTTGTCCAATCCTAGAAAGAGTCCATCGTCAACATAAACAAGGAAAATGACAATTCCTGCTTTGGAAATATGGATATAGATCCCAGCATCCACTTTTGAATGAATATAGCCCATTGTGAGTAAAGATTGATGAAGGGCTTTATTCCATGCCAATGCTGCTTGCTTTAAGCCATAAAGGGCTCTAAGCAACCGGTAAACCTTGTGTTCTTGACCCGAAACTTTGAAACCTTCTGGTTGCTCCATATAAATTTCTTCATCTAGATTGCCATAAAGAAAGGCAGTTTTGACATCCAGGGCTTCTGTATCCCAATTTCTTTGGGCAGCAAATGCAAGTAAGATCCGAACAGTTTCAAATCGAGCCACTGGAGAGAAGGTGTCTTCAAAGTCAGTACCAAATTCTTGTGTGAAGCCTTTAGCCACAAGATGAGCTTTGTAATGACCATCGCTTTTGATAGTGAAAACCCATCAACACTTTACAGGTTTCCGATCTCTAGGAGGATCCACCAAGGTCCATACTTGTCTTTCTTCAATAGACTTTAATTCATCCTTCATAGCATCAAACCACTTCTTTTGCAAATCAGGAGATAATTTTAGCACATCTTTATAATGTTCCGGTGATTCTTTAATCTGGGCAGCCAATGCAAACTCGAAAGGATGCATTTCTAACTGTTGGTCTGGCATGCCTTTCAGAGAATCAGGAGTATCCAGAACAGGAGTAAGTGGAGATCCAGGAGATGGAGGAGTAGTTCCTTGTGGATGTTCAGTCCACTGACGAGGAACTTCAGGAGGAATCATTGCAGGAGGTAACCTCGGAGAAGGAGGTCTGTGTTCTTCTGCATATCTCTGAATATCTTCTCTGGAATTGCAAGCATGTTACTCAGCATTACAAATCCATTGTTGTGCTTGATCCCAATTTCTTTGAATATCTTGTTCAATATCAACTGGAGGTCTATCCCCATAGATATTTCCAGGATGAGATACTGGAATAAATTGATGCTTTGGACGAGGTTCTCTGTCATCGGCAGGTTGAGCTCTGTGAACATTACACAAGTCTCCTTGAATAAATTCAGGTTGATGAGGATGTCTTAGATGATGAGGGTCAACTGGTGGTACAGCAGCAGGTGCTCTTCTTGGTTGTTGATGAGCTCTAGGCTGGTCCGCAGCTCTCTGCTGTGGGTTTTGTGATTGAGGTGGAGTATTAGGACAAGGTGGTTGGCAGTGATGAGGCGCTGGTTGGATCTGATCAGGATCCGGTAAAGAATGTAGGCTTTCAGAGTTGGAAGAAATTGATTCATGGTCGTCTTTGGTATTGGGGTCAAAGGTTTCAGATTTTGAATCAGAGCAAAAAGGAAAAGAGTCTTCTACGAATTTTGCAGTTTGGGAAAGAATTATCTTTTGTCCATGAAGGAACCGATATCCTTTTGTATTAGGCTTGTAGCCTAAGAAAATCATTTCGACTGCATGAGGTTCCAATTTATCTTTTCTTTGTTCTTTAGGAACCCATACAAAGGCTTTGCAGCCAAAGGTGCGAAAATAGGAGATATCTGGGATTTTTCCTAAAAAGAGTTCCACCGGAGTCTTAAAAAGAATCCTTTTAAGAGGAGTTCTGTTGTACACATGAAGTGCACAATCAAAAGCGAAATTCCAGAAGTGTTTCGGAACACAAGCATGATGTCGAATGGTCCCAGCTTTTTCGGAAATGGTCCAATTAAAGCATTCTGCATGACCATTTTGTTGTGGTTGGTCAGCAATGGATAGATAATGGGTTATTCCGTGCAAAGAAAGGAGCGCTTTGAAAGTGGTACCCATGAATTCTCCCCCACGATCTGAACAGAGCGCAAGAAGATGATGTCCAGTAGTATTTTGTACAGACACCATCCAATTGGCAAAAGCAGTATAGGTGTCGGATTTGTGATGAAGGTAGAGACAGAATCCATAGGATGAATAATCATCCAAGAGGGTAAGAATATATTTGGACCGAAAATAAGATTTGACAGGTAATTCAAGAAGGTCAGCATGGACCAACTCGAGAGGTTTAGTTGCTCGTTTCCATGATGGTTTAAAAGCTTCAGAGGAAAGTTTGCCTTGTGCGCAACCTTTACAAGAGGAAGTCTCCCCCTGTATTTGTATATCTTGTTTAAGACCTAATCATCGAATATGTCTGAGAACTGCTTGAGCAGGGTGACACATGCGATTATGCCAAAGAGACTCTTGAGATTCCTTGACCAGAGGGCAAAGGACCCCATAGGCAGTGGTAGGTGGAAGCAGTATGCCCACAAACCAGTGAAGAGGTGAAGTCAGAGAAGCTACTTTTGCTTCAAGGATAATCCAGCCATCTGGTGCTCTGATAGTCTCACTATTCAGCGTCGCTGTGCTCCTATACCCGTTATTGAGGAGCGCATTTCATGAACATAGTTGCTTTGAAAACAAAGGACTGTAAACAACATTATGTAGTGGTAGGTTACTGCCATTTTCCAGGCAAATAACCACTGTTCCTTGACCAAGAAGTTGGACCTTTTTAATGCCTGCAGTAGAGGCCAAAGGTGGATTTTTAAATTCTCGATAAGTCAAGAAATCAGTTTTAAAAGGAGTCACATGATGTGATGCTCCAGAATCCAACATCCATAAAGACTCACCCTTTGGTAGGTTCTTTTTAAGATTTGCATATGACATTGATACACCCAAAGGGTAACAGTCATAAGAATCGAAGGCATGACCATTGAATTGCATGGGTAAATACCCAGATGCAGATTCATTAGGATCATACTCGATGTCTGGATTATGCTTTATATGGAAATTTTTACATACAGGATTCTCTGGCACAGATTTGTGAAATTGAAATAAAGACATTGGGTGATTCTTTAATATGGATTTTTGGAGAGATCCTCCTCCTGAACAATTCTATCCTCGAAGTTGAGGGGCAGACTGATCAACAATCCGTTGGTTCAGTGGAGCCGAATTGCCATGGTCCTTAACATTCCAATTCTCCACCAAGTTCTTGCCAGCCAAAACGGAATTTCCCACTCGTACTGAGGGTTCGAGGGAACCACTCTGACATGTCCCGTCCTGCTCAGCAGGGGGAAGGGAAATCTTCCTCGGATGAGAGTCCGAGTACTTCCATTGCTCCGGTTCCTGAAGGGAAACCTCCAGCAGGTTGCAAGTTGTGGCTGTTTGGTGACAAATAGAACATTGGCAGATATTAGAGCCGGGAATGTTAACATGAATCTTGACTGACTCAACTTGATCTGGTTGGAAATTTTGAATTTCCTCCAGATACCAAGGAGCAAGATTTCCTGTTGTGACAT